GTACCAAACTGTAGAGTTTGCCACTCCTAATATTATAGAAATTTCTCAGATGTTTTTTTTTTCTGTTTTTGCAGCTTAAGGATGGCTTGTTTCACCTGCATGGAGAGCTCCTTTGACCGCATGTTTACTTCACAGCAAAACCTTMCAAATACAAGCACCACACCTCAAATCAACTCCAGGTCTTTTATCTGCTTCATTGAGAATGACATAACGAAGGGATTGCCCAAACCTGTCCATGAAATAGCCTTGGAGTCAATTCATCCCATTTTAATGTGGAGACCCTCAATTCAAAGCTAAAAKTCTGGACTTTACGTCCATGTCCATTGTATAACTATAACTTAAATATGTTTCAGTAAACAGGTAAAAAAATAAAACTTTGTGTCAGTGTCCAAATAGATATGAACCTAACTGTAGGTTCCTACCATGTACTAGCCAGTGTCAGTATAGACACATGTGACAGGTTAAACAGTACATGTTCCTACCTTTAGTGCCTCCTGCGGCCCCCAGATGATAAATAGCCCCTAGAATAAGCCAGACTGCCTTCTGTTCTTCCCCAGAGATGCCCAGCACCTTCATGGCTGCCTGGAGCTTAGTGAACTGTTGGGAGGCCCGCTGCTTGTCTTCGGGCTGACAAATGACATCGGATCAGAACCAAACCATACAGTAAACATGGACAACACATAGATTAGTAAATAAAACCTGCTTCCTCTGTGAATACCTTGGAGAGTGGATGGATCCCAAAAGCACTGTTTTCTGCAAGTTGGTTCAGGTGCAGCTCAGTTCTGGAGGAGAAGATCAGTCACAGTGAGATCTTTAAATGTTCTGGTTTAATGATTCTTTTAATAAACTCTACTTCAAAGCTCTGGGTGCTGACAGTGTTTGCTCTAAATAAACCCTGTTCATGTGAAGGCTCGACGTAAAGAACCAGACAAACGTTCCACGGTGTATGAAAAACATTTGCTCTCATCTKTACAAGTATTTCAGTGATATATTTTATACTGGTAAGAATGAATTCCTCTACAGTCCGACTGTGCCACCTGCTGGTGTAAACTGGTTCCTACAATTGAAATGAGTCATTTTAATCTTTAAGACATCAGAAAACAGCTGGAACATGGCAGTAATATGTGCACTGGGTGGAGGACTTTAACACATAACATCACTGATCCATGTCAGAGGTGCAGTCAGACCCTGGACCCCATGAGAGCGTGACAGATAGAATACCACTGCTGAAGAAAACTCAGATTAATCTGGACTAGAGATTTCTAAACGGCATGCTGAAGTCTCCAAGCTGAAGTGTCTCAGCAGATGGTCAGCTTGTAGRGATGAAACGAAGGCAGCAAAATGCAGAGTTGTAAAGTAACYAAGTACAAAATACTTTGCTACTATAATTAAGGTGAATTTTTGGGTATCTGTACTTTAATTGAGTAATTATTTTTCTGTGTAGTTTTTACTTCTACTCCTTAGATTTTTAAAAAATTCAAGACGTAGAAAGTCATTATTTTTATTTGATTTTGCTTGTTTTCATTCCAGCTTGTTATTATGGTAAAAAATTACTATCCAGGGTTTCCCCTAGGATATTTTTTAACTGTGGTGGTGTCGGCTTTTGGGTGGGGTGGGGG